GGAAAATGCAGACTATAAACGAGACTATTTTGTGAATTTGTGATGCAAAAAGGTTAAACGTAATCTGGATTAGCATTAGGTATAAACACCTTGTGTTGATTGGATTATCATGGAGAAACAGGTTGTCTGCACTTTTTTCTTTTCCAATATTTCTGGAAATGAACCCTATTTTTAAGCCAACAGACAAAATGTTAGTAAATTTTCGGTTTTTACTCAAAAAATTTGGTTATTTTGTTCCAGTATTCTGAAGGAAAATGCAGACTATAAATGGGACTATTTTGTGAATTTGTGATGAAAAAAGGTTAAACATAATCTGGATTAGCATTAGGTATAAACACCTTGTGTTGATTGGATTATCATGGAGAAACAGGTTGTCTGCACTTTTTTCTTTTTCAATATTTCTGGAAATGAACCCTATTTTTAAGCCAACAGACAAAATGTTAGTAAATTTTCAGTTTTTACTAAAAAAAAATGTGCTTATTTTGTTCCAGTATTCTGAAGGAAAATGCAGACTAAACGTGACTATTTTGTGAATTTGTGATGAAAAAAGGTTAAACGTAATCTGGATTAGCATTAGGTATAAACACCTTGTGTTGATTGGATTATCATGGAGAAACAGGTTAAGCTGATTGGATTATCATAAGGTGTAAACACTGCTGATTATAACTAGATTTAAAAACATTGCCTTGATTGGATGTCATCACTGGGTATAAACACCTGGTGTTGATTGCATTTTCATTAGCTTTTTATTGCTGTGTTGTTCTCATGTTGTGTATATTTATTAGCTGCTAGTTATGGTGTGTTATCACCTGCAGGCAATAGTGTAGTGTTATTTCTAAGAGTATTGCCAGGTGCCAAACAACTATGACGTGTTAGGCCTGACTTTTTTTATTCCTTGTTTCTCGAGTTTTTATAAGGCTTTTTTTTTGAGGATGGCGGAAAAAAATTAAATTAATTCTTTTTTCCATTAGATTTGTGTAATTCTCAAAGAATTGTAAGTGAGATCAATGATTGGAGAGAAGAAATGAAATAAAATTTTATTCTATGTATACCCTTGTTTCTCATCTGCGCGAGACTTCGGTACTCGCACGAAAATGCAACTTGGGTTTGTTACGCAGCGGGCAGTAAAAAAATGAAGATAAAATAATATTTGTTAGCATTTTTTTGCGCTTACAAGTCGGCGGGCGCGAGAAATTACGCTGAAATAAAATTTTATTTTTATTTCATTTTCGGCTCCTGTTCATTCGACGGGTTTGTGAAACAAGGGATAATAAAAGTCTGGCCTTACATTTACAGACACACAAATCTTGTCCCAACCTCCCGCCAGCAATAATGGTGCATCCTTAAGTACTTCCGGTGATTGAACACATGGCATTTTTTAATCCGTATCACAGGGACTGTGTCCGTATGAAACGTCTCGATGAACAAACTTAAAAACTTCCTGTTTGTCCCGACTAGTTGTGCACAGTTATCAACGTATGAAGGGAGTGCTTTGATTTAGGATGCTATTGCTACATCCTGTAACCAAGGCAACCAATGACCATGTCTGGATCGGAAATGACTATATTTCCCAAATGATTAGATTTGACCATGGATTTCCTTTTCCGGCGGAATGGGAAAAGATTTTTGGTCATGGGTTATCGTACTAATAAATACCCCCCTCCCGGTTAATGGCTCACCCTGCCTTTTCATTGACATATGTGCTGTCCATATGAACATATTAACTACAAAGTTGTCACCATGATGCCGGGAATGCAAACTGTTATAGTAAAAGACATAATAGTAATCGACCTTACAAAGTCACCTGATAGGATTTTTTAGAAAGCATAATGTGGGTTTCATACGATATGGTCTCAATAGTTAAACATCGAGAAATATAATATGTTTTTTGTTCAATGGAATGTAGTCACTCCAAACTAACTACAACATGATGTCTGTACGGACACTAATTGGGGGATTATGGAAATTACTAATATAAACGATATTGTGTAGACTTATAATTTGTTGTCATATGTTGTTTGAATACTGAACTCGATTATTGGACGTGGTGACTACATATCATTAGTGAATCACAAAAAATAAGAATTCACTCGGAAAACAGAGTTATGATAGAATGATCATTCGAAGTACATAAACACATAGTTAGGTTCAGGTAAGACTCCAAGCTATAAGTCTACCGATTCCATCTTAAAGTGGGGGAGTCGTCATCTGCGCATGGGTCAGTTGGCCATACCATGTAATTGTTTACAAACAAGCGTTTACCCATAATCATTTGCGCTTTCAGCGTGTGTTGTTATCGTTGCTTGGGACTCAAATCCCGCGCATGCGCAGGTGACAACCCTCCCGCTTTAACATTTTGTTCATTTTGATTGCCCCAAAACCAATATGACCGTGAATTATGCGACTCTCTTGCAATATGCAGACCAATAATTCCTAGACCTCAAATGATACGTCAAATATTGATTTTTTTTAAATAAATTGAGCCAATATTATACTTAAAGCGCGGTGGTCGTCGCGCAGTGCGTGTTCGAATTTCATGTAAATAAACAAGGTATTTTACTTGCGTTGTATACGTCGCTATGAGTCCCATATCGAACAGAACGCGGCGTGGCCAACACTTTCATTTAATATGTATTCATTGCTATAATTGTATTGCTCAATAGCATTTTACTTATTAGTCGTCCAGATCCGTACTTTGTAAAATCGTGTTTGTGTTTCTCATATTCTCCGTATAGCATTTTTCGTTGGTCGCCGTGGAAACGGACGTATCTTAGTAAAATAGTAGTCATCTACAGTCGTACTTTTCGGTTATATGAACTCGATACCCACCCCAATGTATTGGCTAGGCGAATAAATGCGCCTGACTGGCAGAGATGATTTTTTAACGCATATCGCAAATTCTACTTTATATTTGTGTTTTTGGCTGCAATATGCTGGCCAATAACCCCTCCCTGTCGAGTCCGTTTCCAGATCTTGTTTTTTTTTTTTTACGGAATCGATAAATTACATCAGTCTCTTCGATTTTGGTACATAATTTAGAAATATGGAATAAATTCGTTTTTGCGGCGCTAGCAAGTAACCAATTGTATAAGTATTGTTTTTTTTTAAAGGACATGACATGTACGTATCGCGACAACTACTGTGTATGCGGGCAAGATTTACATAACTCGAGATTGTTGTGATAATTTGCGGTCATTAAATATTCATAAAATAACTTTATCTTTCTATACTACATGTATGGGCATCTAGTTCACGTCACTTGGCCCATTGGTCCCTAGATTAGTAATAAATAGGTTCCACGGTTGTTTTCAATATGACATAGTTTTGTAACCAATATTGTGTTGTTGTTGTTGTTGTTGTTGTTGTTTTTGTTTTTGTTTAGGGGCAGGTCGAGGTTACTTTAATCAGATGATGACAAATATACATAATGGCCAAAACATTTCTGCTGGCACTTCATTTGACCAATGATTACGTCATATACCCTCGCGTCGATTCTACCGCTTACGTCCTGTCTTCCACAGTACTACGGACCTACCCTATCATATTTAATACTTGAACTTTATTTCTTATTTTTCTAACTTTATAGTTCCTAGTTGTGTTGTATTTTGTATGTTTTTAATAGCCTTTTTTAAAGACAATACTGCTGTAACTTTTTGCGTCAGTATCGCGTCAATGAAATGAAATATTATTATTATTGCATACTAAAGGGGGGTGTTACAGTAATC